CAAACGAACACTTGCTGATCTGGATGACGAAACGCAAACAAAACATGCTGCGCAATACTTCAGCCGGTCCTCCGTAACCTCCAGCTGCTCCAGCTCCACCTGGTGCACTTGGTCCTGCTGCTGGTCCTCCCTAAATAGGACCATCAATTCGGAAATAATTTTTGAATAGACTTTTTCGGCATCACCTCCGCTATACCATGGCCTTCAACTATTCTGTTACCACCTGTTGGACCTGCAGACGTCCCCGGCATCCCTCGTGGTGCACCGCCCTGCAAACGAACACTTGCTGATCTGGATGACGAAACGCAAACAGTGAAAGATGCTGCACAATACTTCAGCCGGTCCTCCGTAACCTCCAGCTGCTCCAGCTCCACCTGGTGCACTTGGTCCTGCTGCTGGTCCTCCCTGATTACCAAAGTCCAATTGCAGATTGATTACGAGCTAATTGCATCACCTCAGCTACTCCGTGGCCATTGACTATTCTATTGCCTCCAGTCAAGCCTGCACCCAGCCCTGGCATTCCGCGAGCTGCCCCTTGCTCCTGCAATTTTACTCTTCTAAGACACTAAATTTTGATGAAAGGTGTCATCCACCTGAGGACCACCATAACCTCCCGCTGCAGCAGCTCCTCCACTTGGCCCTGCCGCTCCCTGAACGGAAGCTTAAAAGAACGTTACTGAACAAATGCAAGAACTTCTTTATTTAAGCGCAATATCAACATTCCTCAAGCAATCTTTTAACAATTGAAACTTGAGCCTTTCCTGCTCCAAAGCGTTTAGGAAGCAGAAAGCAATAGAAGTTTAAAGTACCTCAGGAGCAACTCCGTGGCCCTCAACAATTCTTGGGCCTCCACCAGCTCCTCCTTTCTGAAATGTAAGAGGGAATATTGTTGAACAAATGAAAGTAGCAACAGTCGCATTAGCAAAAGATGTGCACTCCCATATAATAAAAGACTATAATGAAAAAGGAAAGTTGTAAAATGTGCGGCGAATCTATGGTAATAGATTGATGTCCGGATGCGCCGTTGCTTGCCTTTCTGTACATATAATCAGCAGTCCAGGTTAGAACTAGCTTAATGATACTGATTAAAAAACAAATATGGATCAGATCAAAAGCTATTTACGATTTACAATGTGTTAGTTGTTAGTTCGCTGTTTTAAAAGGTAACGCTGTCCTTTGTTATTTTTCCTTTGTCTTGAAGATGAGGTGATGATAATGATGAGTTTCAAGACTACATCTTAGTAAACTAATGACATGTAATTCGAATACGCAAAGCTACCATGTAGTAAAATGAGGACAGAAAGAGCGCATTTGATTAGCGCAACCGACGAAACATCATTTGCAA